TTGGAAGGTAGAATTAGAGCTCGTGGAAGTTTCCACATGAGATTCATTGTGAGATAGAGAAGGAGGCGGTGGTGGAGGTGGAGGAATCACTTTAATAGTGGGTGTCGGTTTATCTGAGACAAGTTCCTCACTAGCATTAGTAAATGGTAGATTTGGTAGAGGCATTAGAGAAGAACTCATAGGAGGGGGCGGGGCCAAGGAACCAAAAGAAACGGGTGGAGGTGATGAAGAGGGTAGAGATTCTTTAACCAAGAAAACCTTATCTGAATCTTCATCAAGAGTTTGAGGAGATTCTGATGAAATATTCACTTCATTAGCACTAATTTTACCAGACAATAATTCAGAAGAATCTACAATAGCAGGCTTTGTAATAATATCAAATATTTCATCCGAACTATCGGCAGTGCTAGACGTATAATTTTCCTCTTCAGAATCCACAGGGGAGGAATATGAACTTGTTCTATTTTGCAATCTTGACAGTTCTTTCACATCACTCAAGACAGAAAGATTCTTGAGTAGCCACAAGGCAGCATCATCATTGCTATCAATCCAGTCGGCACCACTAAAAAGTTCTTGGACTCTAGAAAAAGCTTCAATTGGCAATCCACCTTTCTCTTCACCATTCAAAATTGTGATCGGAGCCCTTGCAGGAGAGATGCTTTCTATCTCCCCAAACAAAACCTAATTTAGAAGGCAGTTAATTAGATGGGCAGCTTAAGAGAAAAAATAACTCATCAAATTGGAGTTCTTGGGATGTTAATCTCTTAAAGGAACAAATAGTAAAAGCAAGAAATTCATTAGTGAGATTCCCATGACTGTTAAAATACGAACCTCAGCTCGAAAGCCTTTTGGATACCGCTCCTTTGAATCCCAAAGAATGTCCAAATTTTCAGAGTTCAGCATCAGTATGTTTGATCTGATAAATGCTGTATTGAACATAATACGAAACATCATGACTTCCCTTTCTTGTTCCAATTCCAAATGTGAACACTCCAACACTACATCTCCTTGAACCAAACACTGCACATCTATTTTAATCACATCGCAATCTGCCTGCAGTCAAAACATCCATCTTTCATGGTTGACACATCTAAAGGATATGAGGTTTACAAGATCAAAGTAGAAATTCGGTTTCAGTATGTAAAACTTTAACCTGATGGTAGTGACGGAGGGTCTTGTTCTTCTTGGGCATGGAGAAAATCATCTGTGTGGAAAGCCCACCCTTGCTGAAAAGATTCCTCCCAAAAATACGAATTACAGGTCTGCATCCATTCTGAGAATCAAAACCCGGAATGCCACGAAGAATTACACAATCTAAAGAAAGTGCTCGCTCGGGCGGTGGCCACTCTGAGACTATATTTCTCCTTGCAACATATTGCAAGTAGCGAAGCTGAGATGGGAACGGATTTAATGGTGACAAGAGCTGCAAAAACCCTTTGGGGGCTTCTCGATGTACAATTTCAAGAGTTTTCCTCTCACCACTGTGCAATTTTCTATAAATCAAAAAGCTAGACAAAAGGAAAGCTAAGAGTGGCCAACCTCCCCTCTCGCAGTGGAGAAGAATGATATTTTGTTGATTACCAAGCAGAAGCCAGCTCTCACAAACACGGAGGAAGTGCTGTATCAAGGACAGTGGAAGAAGAGGGCAACCTTCATATTGTCGAGGATAATCCATCACAGTGACATCATATTCACACAACATTTCTGAAAACTGGCTCCTTTTCTCCCCTTCACGAAAATTAAATGCAAGGAAGGAAGAGTCTGGGAATTCTTCATGTAATTCGTTGACAATCCCATGCAGATATATTTGGTACATACCATCGGGTAACACTTCAGTGGAGAAGCACGAATCAAAAACTGCACAAATTCACGAAATTGACAAGCGAATAAGGAACTATTTAGCCAAGCTCACGATTACCCATATTGCAAAATCAAAACACAAGAAGCGGTAATTCAATAATTGCAATAAAGATTTTCACTTACTATACACTCGTTCAACAAATTCCAGCAACCCATCTGGGGGTCTTCTGTAAAAAAACCTACTGAGGAGGGACATTTCGATGAATATGAATATAATTACATGCGAGCATACACCACGGAGCTAAGGGCTGCAACAGGAGAATCTGAAAGCGGAATTAAATTTTCCCAATTCCACAAGAAAGCGTCAATCATTAGTCCATTTAAAGAAGTTTTAGCAACCAAAACCATTCCTAACTCGAATTAGTGGGTTAGTAGAGCTACAAAACATGGTATTGTAATTTGTAGTCTCAATTCTCAAACATTGGAGAAATCAAACGGCATTACAATGAGACCTATGAATGGGAAGGGAAATTCCGGATAAAGGCAGCAGAGAATATTCCTAATGACGAATGAAACGCGGAATCATAGAAGAAAAGTAGACAAAAATAAAGAAAATTAGAGAAGACAAGAGTGAAACCTGGGCGCATCGAGGGAGCGGTGGAGGAGAAGGAAGCAGAGGGAGAGGGAGAATTGGGAAATTTTTTAGAATTTGAAAAATTGAAAGAAAGAGGACCCCACGCCGCCACAACCTCCAACTCCGGCTGATTATTATCAACATCCGCTTCTTTTACTCCACTTCAATTTCTCTATTGTTTTTCTCTCTCTTTTTTTTAATATTAATTATTTATACCTCTTTTTTATCCAATCGATTTGGATGCTGTTTGAAAATTGTTTCAATATAACAACACGAGTATAATAGAGTATAATATAAAGGTTAAAACTCGGTCGGTAAAGTAACAATTTAGTACCTGAAATGTAATGATTTACTTTAAATACTTCCAAATTATTAACCATTTATTTATTGAACCTTAATATATAACAATTTAGTTATTATAATTTAAAGTTGGTAACAATTTAGTCCTTATCGTTAATTTTTTTTTTGTTAAGTTTTTTATATATGTAGATTGATAAACTAAATAGGACCAAATATATTTATAAATTAGAAAGATTAAATTGTTATATGATAAATTTTAACACTTAAATTTTAATAAACTTTTTTACGGCAGGGATTAAATTGTTACAAATTTTAAATTATATGGACTAAATTATTACAAGCTAAAGCTTATGGACTAAATTTTACTTCAGTAAAAGTACAATGACTAAATCATTATAAACTAAAGTTCATGGATTAAATTGTTACTTTAGTAAAAGTGTATGGACTAAATATGTTTTTTAAACTATCTTAAATTAATAATGATGTCTAATATTTTTGTGTCAACTTGAATATAGTTCAACTATCTCTGACCAAAAGATCATCATTTCGAAATTCTATTCACTTGTATTAAAAAAAAACTATTTTGTATCATGAGATTTTTTTAATCCTCTATTTTCAAAGCAAACCATTTTAGTATATAAACTTTGCAATTATCTATCATGGGGATTATATTTTAAAAAGTGACTATTTTGATTATTTCATTTTATTTGTTTGTTTCATTTTTTCGATTACAGTTTTAGCACGACATTACACTCAATAAATTATATTTTGTATTAAAGAGTTTGCATTGTGAATACAATTTGCATAAAATTTCCAAACATAAACACAATAAAATGATATTTTTAAAAAATACAAGGCTCGTAATCTATATTGTCAGAATATAAACATTAAAATAGATAAAAGTTAGAAGTGCATAAACCAAATTGACATTTGAAATTACATGAATCAAAACGAACCAAAGTTGAAAATACCTGACTATTATTATATAAACCCATTATTGATATTTAAAAATGTCTATTTCTTTTTCTAATTGATAGCAGCGAAAGCTTTACCCAGTATATTTTTTAACGTGGGATTTTCTTCCTGTTTAGGATTATTTTTGAAGTCCCTTCCTATTTTGTTTGAGATATTCAATTTTATTGCCTATGTTTTATGTTTACTTTTCGACAAATATTTTATCGTTCTTTTTCTTTTTTTGAAAAAAAAAATCAATAAGGCCAAATTAAACACCCATTGCGACAAAAACCAATTCATTCATCGGGAAGCTAACATTACATAACAATCACATACATGGTAAGAATTGCGTGTTAAGAATGAATAAATCACTGCTCAACCCAAAAACTTAAGCTGATAGATTGGATAAATTTAAATCAATTACAGACATCTAACATTGTGCTCGAAAGAGAATTTTATGAAATTTGGTTAGAAGATTGGCATAACAAATATCGAGTACTTTCTCACATGAGTCCGTAGTTTTCTTGTTTTATATGTTATTTTTTTATTTATACGAGGAGAAAAACAAAGAAAGTATATATATTATCTGCAATTAGAATAATTGAACAAAGTAAATAAAATATCTTAGCCTAACTCAAGAATAAGGGGTGAGTTTACTTTTTAATATTGGATTTTAAAAAGTGTTTTAACTCTTTTCTAAACACTATTTGGATTGCTTTGCTACAAACATGGGCCCAATACAATAAATATGGCCCAATATTAGACGTGGCCCGCGCCTTTTTTTCCTTTCTTTTTCCGGAGTATACAATATATAATAAAATTGCAAAAAAGGGCCCAACCGGGTTCGAACCGGTGACCTCTTGATCTGCAGTCAAATGCTCTACCACTGAGCTATAGACCCACATGTTAACACGAGTCAGATTTTATATTGTTTATTAAAATTTGATATTATGTTTTCATCCTGCAAGCTATTTAGTACCATACATAGTTTTTTTTTTTAATTTAATAATTAACGACTAATTTTAATAACTAAAATGAAATATATTTTGAGACATGATTGTCGTTTCTATTTGCAATGAATTATTCAATATTTTATCAAAAATATATTTTTTTTTCTTTTTATGAAAATAGATAGGGACATAATAAATTTTGAAAAAATAGTTAGAGGAAGTATATAAACCTACAAAATTGAAATAGAAACAAAAAAAGAAAACAAAATTTTATATAGAATCAGTAGAAAGTCGGAGACCAATTATTTAATATTTTATGTACAAAATTGAAATAGAAACAAAAAAAAAAAGAAAACAAAACTTTATATAGAATCAGTAGAAAGTCGGAGACCAATTATTTAATATTGGAAATTTATAAACTTGTTAAATTTATTTTCTTTTCTTTTCTGGACGTAGCAGAAACTTTTTTAAATCCCACAAATCGGAAGAATATACAAAGCTTAAAAGAAAGGAACTCAATCACCCAACTATAACTAAAAAAGCAGAAGAAAGAAGAAGAAGAAAACTAGACGTGTTGCCCATGCCCAGAAGGCGTTCGACGAAATGTCAACAAGAAGTTCAACGAGATTTATGGATTGGGCTTGGACTGAAATCGAGCCTACTTGACTGCACGACCAACGCCAACTGCGGAAATAAAGAAAGAAAGTGGGAGGCAATAGAATTGAAATGGTCAAAATCCAACTCCAAATTCCATAGTTATTATTATTCATGAATCATCGATTAATTTGGAATCGGAAGAACGAGAGAGATTGGCGTGGCGTGGCGTGGCGTTTGTCGCTGTGTGTTTGTTAGGCACATGGGGGATTGGATTGGCGTTGGGTGGCGCTGTGGCATTTTCACAAGCACATGGCATGCGCCATTCTCTGCCCCATGTCTCTCTAATAATACAATTTGACCTCTACTCAGATTAGAGGGAGAGGTTTACAAACTCTATGCTTATTTATTTTCGAGGAAATATATTTTGGTTAAATTTAAGTATTAGTTTCGATTTCATCCTTTATGACTAAAATTCGGGCTAAGTGTCACAAATTATCTCCTGATTCTTTAAATGACACTATTTTTTTTTATCTAAAAAGATAAATTAAACAGAAAATACATGTTTATACGGATCAAATTGACTTATAATAAATTAAAAATCAACATAAGTTATAAGTACCAATTTTGTAATTTAACATTCATTTTTTTTTGTCCTTGTACTTGGATGGTGAGTTGACTTTGACCATTTTGTTCTACAATCTTTGGTGAATAACTTGCTAGCTCATAGCGTGCCCACGAATCAAAGAATTAGTAGATCTGTTCCGGTAGTTATGAAAAGCATAGTTGAGTATTAGCTGCAAAGATAAAGATATGTATAATACTAACGCGTGGTGTGTGCCAAATACACTTTCATGTTCAAATTAGTTAGAGTCTAAAAGTCAGGTAATTTAACGTATGATAATTTTAAATATATAGCATACAAACTGGATTTGAATAATATAAAATTGAGAAATTAAATACTGATCTATGTTTGATGTAGAAATTTATTCGTTCAAAATTGCAAATTCACTCATCTTCATGAATTATATGAACTCGTATTTCTAAAACCCGACTTTCAAAATAGACATTATTTTTTATCATCCATGCTATAAACTCAAAGTTTTCAAATCCATCATTCATGGCTCCAAAGTGTCTCGTCTTCACAGTCTTTTTCAGTCTATCACTTACCATTATTATTTCTTGTTTTAAAGTTCAAAATTATTATTCCACTTCATTAAAAATAATTTATTAATCCACGTGATAGTACTTAAAAGTAGCAACACCAAGATGTGGATGTGACTGAGGTCATAATCTTAATTAGTCCATCTTCAAATTTAAATATTTTTGGGTTGCAAATTTGGAATTTCAAATACTTAAGAAAAAAAAACTAAGGAATTTACACCCATTTTCACAAATTTTTTAGAGTTATTTTTTCTTTTGGGAAGAATTTATCATATATTATTTATTTGTATGGGCGTTTCGAATGTTTTTTTAGTTCAACAACATGTGGAAGTAGGAGTTCGAATTTCGACCTTTTAGTTAATAATATATGCATTCACTAGTTGAGTCATGCTTTGTTCGATCTATAAAAAAAATTATTGATATTTAATTGTTGAGTTATATCGAATTATATATATAGTTTTAGAGTGTTATAGTAATAAATAAGAAGAGTAAATTTGAATTTATACTTGAAAATGGAAACACTGCTATCTAACCTAAAATTAAAAATAGGAAAAATTTGCGGTGAGCTTAATTAACTCAGCAGTAATTGATACATATTTTTCACCAAGAAGTCATGAGTTTGAATCACGGACCCGCATTTGTTGGTTTTTTTAAGTGAAAACTCTGCTAAGTTAACTGTTTTTATATTTTTACAATTTTAATTCTCCATTTTATTAGGATACAATTTTCTCCCATATAAATAATAATTGTCTTTTTTTTTGGTCTACTTTCAAAAAATGATGTTTGCTGGTGATTTTTTTTTTTAAATTTTTCTAAAACATTTTTTTTAATCGTAGATATAAAAAAATCACAATAAACTTAGAAAGCAGTATAAATATATTTCCTTTTTATTTTCAAAACGTCGCCAAGATTTAAAATAATCTGTTAGTAATCAAGCATAGTTTTTATAAACAACAAATTTTTATCAAACAATACTATGGGATTGGGAAAAAAAAAAATCCCATCCAATTGAATTGTTAAAATAAAAATATAGATATATTCAATTTCAGGATATGCAAAGCAAATGGGATAGATACCTGCCAACCAAAAAATCAAATTAATATTTTATTTTTCCAATTTTAACTTTTACTATATAATATAATCAAATTTTAAAGATAAAATAATTATGATGTAATTTTAGGGGGAG